GAACTGAAAACTGAATGCCAGTCGAAATTCTAAGCCCCCTGCTAATGCTCATCCCGCGTCGAAATATTATAGAATTACCAGCCCCGGCATTAATCGTTTGGATGAACTGCAGTTGTATTTATTATTACTTTATATATTTAGAATATTATTTTTTGAAATCTTAAATATATTTCTTTAAATACGCGTTTTGAAATTAATATATTCCGCCTCATTCACTTCGCTCTTCACTCGATTCCGGTCAGTTAACGAGTCTATACTATAATTAGCATATCTGAATACTAATCAGTGCCACGTTGGTTAATCTAACCAATGGCAACTGTCACATAGCATACGTCATTACTTTGAAACCTCCGTGTCCGTATTCAACGTACTGGGATCACTGCCGCCAAGGATGTCGAGGCGATTAACATAATTAGTTAGATGATTACACGTGTATTTATGAATGTAAACAATTTAAAAGCATGTGTCGTTCTATTGTTTGCGCATGGAGCTTTTTTAACTCCATGGTTTACAAAATTGCTTCATTGAACACGTGTAAAACAAAGCCTTTTGTTGTGTACTGGCACGCAGTACGTACGTTCGATGTGCACAGATACTTGTCATATATATATAAATGTTGCACCTGTGACGCTTACGGATTGGAAAAAAAATAAGAAAACAAGAAATCGATTAATCATTGTTCTTATTGTTTAATCGATTAATCTACCTATTGTTACGCATTGTATTTTTAATGTGGTTAGAAGATAAACTGAATATACATGTAAATACAGTTAACAACTCTGCGTTTTAATATATAAATACATAAATATATATATATATTTATATATATATGATTTATAAATATATATATATATATTCATATATATATATGATATGTGCTTGTATCCCAGTATTAGTTTTTACCAGATGTGACCACACAGAATCGCTTGGCGACTCAAATAAAATGTGTTAATTATAAATGAGCTTCAAGTTACTAAACCCAAGTCCCACTGCGCCTATCGGTAATTCGCACAGGTTCAAGGTCATCTTTAAATGTTCACTTTGATTTCTACATGGATCCGTAGTGTACCCAATAAATAACCCAACATGAGAAAGGTATCTTCGAGTCCGCATTTCAGTTAGTGCAAAGTAAGGAAGTCTGATTTTTTTAGGGGGGTTCCTCTGTAAACGAGTTGAGAATTTATTATATTACAAACAAATCTTAAGTTCAAATGATAGTTTCATTACCAACAGCCTGGGAAAGTTCATCAATATGAATTATATTTTAACAGAAAACAAAAATTTCAATATTTAACATTTATCTAACATTTATTTTATATTTTTACAGTGTTTGTTTGTTATTTGTTTATAAAGAAATGTATATTGGCCATAGATGATGTATTTTCCATTCATTATTTAATAATTTGTGTCAAATAAAATATACTATACTATACTATTACCACAAAATTACTGTAAAATTATCGGCCCCATTTTCGAAAAGATGGCCACGGTAAATTCGTATATAATCGTTTAATCAACGGATTGATTAAACTGGGGGTAAGCTCTTTACATTTCATGTTTTTTTTTTAGTTTATGCTGGTCTTTCTTGTCTTCAAACTTTTTGGTGCACGACTTCCGCAGTTTACCTTCGCAGTTTCCAATGCTATACGTCAAATTTTGTCATTTTTCTCAACCCGAAGCCTGCATTTTGTGTGGAAAATGATATTCATAGATAGTGAGTTTGTAACCTCAGAAAGTACCAGGATGTGTGACCTTTTAGGATCATGCATATGGCATATTTTCTGTCGCATTCAGTTTTGTGACATCATAAAAATACACGCGTTGTAATCACCAAAGTTACACAATGGAACTAGCTCCATGGTTCCATTTCGTACTAGCTTTACAATTGTGTTTGATATTCCAGATTCTTTTATTGACTAAAACACTGATTACAATTTACGGTTTTCATGATGAACCTAGTTCACAACATGACCGTCGGACTTGAAATTATAAATAACTGATCACGTGGTTAACAAATCAACCCTTGACACCCTTGTTTAGCCGTCTGTAGACAAAATGCCTATGATTCGCACTACAAGTCTGCGATGAAACTACAAACAGTAAGACATGCTAAATGTAGTAGTTACTATGGTTACTATGCACCTCAAGACGACTGAGGTTAGCGATGAGTTTAAACAATACCCAAGGTGCCGTGTCGTTGTGGATTCACTGACCGTCCACAAACACGGAGCCTCGTCTGGGTGACGGTAAACCGGCATAAATGGGAAAAGGCACCGCTGTTGGGATGATATACAAGTCTTAGTTTCAATTGTATGAGATGATCCCCGCCAATGGGGGTATCAATCAGAATAACTCATCGCATCAATGGAGTGTCTATAGTGAGAGACAATAGCTATTCAGCGTCAAAGGGGCTCTGAAAGACTGGAGAAAGGACCGGATCTATGAAGAAAGAAGTGGAGAGATAAGACGGGCGTGAGATAGGGAGAAATGATAACAAGTAATGAAAGAAACTGTTTCGCCTTCACCCCCCAAGCGGTCAGGCGTAAAAGTAATCCAGATCGTAGAAAAACAAGGGCCAGATTACTCCACACAGATACAGTGGACAATTGTTGATGATGCACCCGCAGCGGAGAGTTAAACTAAAAGAAGTGGTGAACACAAAACGTTCTCACTCATGTCATTACGTCACCTTCGGGCTCAAACACGATAGCATATTTGTTGCATCGTGGTCGCACTCAGTACGTGCTTTGCGCAAAGACGTATAGCGATTTGTACGAACTCATGCTTGTTTCAAAAGAAATGTACAAGAGAAAATACAACATACAATCGAACAAAACAAACTATCATGTCCCCTTTAATTCAGAATTCCAATAACTTAGAAACGAGACGTGTGGTTATGTGTCCAATGTCTATCTAACCGTGAATTAAAATATAATAGAACATATTGATTAAAACAATATATCTACCACGCTAACTATAAAAGATAGAACAAAATATTCGAAAAAATGTTTTTTTCTTAAAGTAAAAACAGTACAATACGCGTGCTGGCGCTTATCTTTATTGGGATTTTAACGACGCTCATCAAGCACTTTTCGCCATTATGAAAGTTCCGCACGCTTTGTAATTGCTACAACGAATTACCGAGGTAAATGAATTCATTAAAATAATATTAAATGACGTTATAATATACTAATTTGTCAGTGAAAGAACTACTTCCAAACTGCCCTCCCAAATTAGACAGCACGCCAATTCATACTGATTTTTATATAGTAGACTGTGCCTTTCGTTCTTTGTTGAATATCAGTTTACTCATCGTTTTGGCACGTCTCTGAAATACGGGTGAATAAGAAAAGTGCTCGTCGTCATGTTTTGACTCGTTCATAAGGTCAGCGGTAGGTCACGTGATCTAACCTTACTTTTTGTGTTATGGTGGGGGAGTGAGAATTCCTGCAGGCCAGGATAGAATTAAAAAATGGAAAATCTACAAAACAGAAAAGGGAGCCCTGTATAGACGTTGTATTGTGTATATTTATCGCATTTAGAAATACCGTGTCCCCAAAATGAAATTCATGCAGCGTTGAGGCTGAAGGGACGACTGAATATCAGGAATAGTGGCCTAACAGGTTGTCCAGTAGACATCATGGTGAAGTATTGTCTATGCTACAGTTGTTTATGATGTAATTAATTTCAGAACGACAGGAAGCAAAACTGAAAATAGAGAATAGTATGTTAATGGTTATCTTCGTATATTTCATGTGGTCGTGACCTCATTGAATCATAATGACGTCATAATTAGTGAAGTAACCGTTTGGTCGCTACACGTGACAAGAACGACAGTGACGAGGCCCCGGATTTTTGCTGGGGGAGAAAACAAAACAAAAAACGCGTTGCTGTCTTTGTTGGTATTTAGTCAGCCGTTATTTAAAAGAGCCGGAAATGAATGGTTCATTTGAACACTCTATGTGGAAGAACAATGTACACAGTACAAAATTAAATTCACCCGATTATAGTTTTTATTATAGTTATAAGTTGTCAAGAAAGAGAATCTTTTTTTCTCTCTGCGCATTTTCCAGGACAACATCTCGCACCATTTGAAATGCTGATGCATATACCATGGCTGTTCCGTCGACGACCTCTCTCTGGCGATTTATTAGACTCCCGTGGATAACACATAGAGACTATTCGAAATGTAATATATTCTTTAAATACAAATATGTTTCGTAAAAGATCGCAATATTTCACGGTGGAGAAAGTGGGCTTGTGTGTTTCACCAATTACTACCAGGGGCGGCGCGGTCCCGGACAGTCGCCGTATATCCCCGGTTCAAGTTTTATGCTTGCATTTTTCAGTGTTTACTGCGATACAAAAACGTTTTAATTTGAAGTTGATGGTTCGAGTAGGCATCAATGCAAGCATCTACTTGTTGTTTTGGATTTAGATTTGTATTCATAACGTGCAATGTTGTGGTGTGTCTATTTCTCCACACACCTACACGACGTCCCAGGACGCCGGTAACGCTACGGCGTTAAAGCAGGGATGAAGCAATGGCAAATAATCTATTTGCGTCGGGCTTCCACTTTTTTAATTGACTGAGACGCCAATTATGGAGACCACATCAATGTGAAATAAAACATACCGGTGTTTCAAAGCATCGCCACGGTTCTTTGTAAAAGTTGCTGTTATCGATATGTTCACAACAATACAACAGCCTCTCCATTTAGTATATGACAGACATTATGTTTTCATATCAACACTGTCAATTTCCTTTTAAAAAAAAGGAAACACAACAAGAGAGACAAAAACATTGTTGGACAAGTTTAATTAACACATACGGTTATCCAAAACCACACGGCGAAGTGCATGTTTGTTGGGCTTAGTATATGTAGAGAAACGTGCGTCAATGACACGCGCAAAAGTGATCGGGTAACTATGGGAACGGTTTTGAGAAATGGTTTTGGTGAAATTGACAAGTGATTTACGGTGAATAAAATATTCAATAGAGTTCGCCATCTAGCGTTCCGGACGATTCCCCAAGTCCATTCCAGGGCCAAGAAAGAGAGTGCTCAAAAGACAGCTCGCCGCTTTTTGATGAATGACTAACCGGAAAACACCTGTCGGCCTGTTCTAGATGCACTAAGCAAAAAGGAGTAAAACACGCACGCGCGTCGGTTCGTCCCTGTTGACTTAAGGGTTGGGATGAAAAAGGCTTGCAACATACACAATCCCCTTTAAAACTGTGCGATAATAAATTCTATTTTTATAGTACGTGCGCTATGCTTTTTTATCGATGAATTTACGGTGTTTTTATGACAGTGGCAAATATGTCGTAGTCGTGTCATCATCGACCACTTCAACAGAGGAATGATATACAGCGTATTATTTGTGGGTGTGTTTTTTTCTTCTTCAAACCAGTGCGTTTTGTTGAAACTCGGTAAACCAATCCCATATCGGATAGTTTTGGCTCGCATACTTCCGACGGCTTTTTATCCATGAAATCCGACACGATCGTGGGAAAGACGATCATACACTACGGTGTTATCAATAATTTTGTTGACATCGTCATTTTGATGGTATTATTGTAGACAAATATCATAAATGCTTGAAACGTGACCTCCGGTTGGTCGCTAGCCATCTTCAAAAAAGAAAGCGACACTGTCATCAGCTTATCTCCACCCCCGAATTTGATACACTTCACTTGCGCATGCGTCAGGTAGCTTTTGGCCATGTTGACAAGACAAGTGAGTTGGATGTGAAGGGCACTCTGTGGTGACGATGCGGTCTAAAGGCAAAGCCCGAAAACTCGCCAAAAGTAAGTCTGAACTATCATACCCGTTGTATTTACAGCACAATTCCGGGTGATCCCATCACGCTACGCGCAGCGACCACCGGATTTCTGTTGGGTCGGCGATCTCACTTTTTTTTTTTACCCCGTGAGTGTTTACCGGTTTCGTTGGATAATTCATCTTGTCTATAGTTGCACATTGAAATGAAGTCTGATCACAATAACTGGTGGTCGGTAAATATTTCAACGCTTACGTATTGCTTTCGTTGACTTCCTGCTCCAGGTTAGACCGAGCACCGTTACTGACTCACACCCGAGCATCACATCAACTTGCCCTCGTTTTTATCGTTTTTTAAATAAGGAAGTTGTTTGCAGTGTGGGACAACTTCTAAAGATTTCCATTTCGAGACATTACTTTGTTCTAGCGTTTTTTTAGAATACCGGTCGATCAGCTATATTACCATTTGAAAGGGGAGGGATGCCGTGTCCTCAAAAAGGGCGTTTTTTATACTAATTGATCGTTTTCATAGACGTGGGCTCCTTTCATATGGGGGGTTTCCTTGTTGAATTATTACCGGTGTTTTTTAGTGTCCCGTGTGCGTTCGGTTTGAATCGCACCCCCCAATTGTCCTTTCATCTTGGCGGGCTGTCTCGCCTCACTCTCGAAATTAGATACTTGCTAGTGAGTCGTCTTTTCAGAGTTTTCTTTCTCGGGTGTGTATTTTGATCGCTGGTTAAGCAAATCGAAAATGTGATATTTCAGTGAATGTTTCGCCCGAATGGAAAGGTCAGATGAGTGCGGTAAATCGAGGTGGACTTCAAAGAGGTCGCGTACCACCTTGTTTGAAGCTATCTAAACAACACCATTTAAACTGACTACTTGGAGTTATACCCGTTGCAGTGTCTTTTGTGTCTGCGTTGGTATCTTTTTACCTAAAACTAAAGTCAACAAGTTTCCTGTTTATCGTTCCACACCACGAAAATCGTCTAACTGAATAAATGTTGTTACTTGTGTTGTTTTTATTCCCATACATGTGATCACCGCAAAAGCTTGCATGGTGTTATGTTTTTTTTGAAGATCGCTGGATAGTATTGTCATCGCGTGCAGGGGTACGAAGTTCAGTGTGAGCGTAGTCTGCCACGACTCGACCAAAACACATTGTATCGGTAGTGGGCTTTTATCAACGTCATTTCGGGTACACCGCATCAATGATGATTGCTATTGTGTCGGGGTCCTCCCATACCACTATTTCTGTACATCATAGCTTGTACCCATTCATTAACATTAAAAAGGAGTTTTTGTGAGGTCTCTGTTCTGCGGGGGAAACTTGTTCACGCATCGGTGGCGACTACACCACGGCAGTATGTATTGAGCAAGGCGAGTGCACTGACATTAAGGGCTTTTGAATGGCTCGCCATCCGTTGCTACCAGCGCAGTGAAACACTAGACATTGCCCAAGATGAATTTCACCCAACTTTGTCTGAATGCAAAGAGATCGATGACTGTCCATCAGTGTTAACAGATATACACAGTGGCTAACTGGACAAACACAGTATAATTGTTTGTGTGTGTGTGTGTGGGGGGGGGGGGTACTGCATGGCGTAAATGCTGTCTGGATCAAGGATTCTGCTCAGTTGAGTTTATAAATTGATAGATGAGTCTCCAATTTATCTTCCCTCTAAGTTCACTTTTTATTAAAAAAAACAAACAGCTATTCCAAATCAAGTTACTTTCTTCCTAGATCTCCACAGCAACTGCTAACTGTCCTAGCAACTGCTAACTGTCCTAGCAACTGCAGCATCATGAGAGGTATCACCACCTAGCACTGTCATAGAAATCCAAGACAGTCATCAGCCATCATTATCTTACTCAAGACATCCTGCATCCTTCAAGGGAAGGAAGATGATAGGTTGCTATTAGCAACTAGGTTGCTATCTGTCTAGTATCCTGGGGAATGTCCTTATCGGGTGCAAACATTGTATCTAGTAAAAGTGACCTAATCTCTGGTAGGTTTGAGCCCCCCAAGCATGGCATTGGCGGTTTGACCAAAAGTTATCTCTCCGCACATTCCATTGTCTATGATTGTTGTACTAATGCTGTCTATTACTGAAGAAAAGCAACGATTTACTTCTTGCCCTCGGTAGATACTTCCATGACCATCTGGTCCTTAAACAAATTCTCCAAACAGCCACTTGTCCTGGGGCATCACAGTGTATATAATGACAGTGCTAACTTAAATCTACCACCAAAGTAGACTTGGTTTTAAAACCCAACAATCTTTTTTATTTTGTGTCTAAAAGCTGCCCTTACAGGTGTATGCTGCATATCTATAATGAAATTCACCCCCAAAAAATATTAGAATAACTAAAAAATAAAACTTCTGCAGCTGCTTCGGAGAGGTTAATTTTAATTTTATACCAGGTGTATTTCAAATAATAGTTTTAAGAACTTGCTAGGAATACCTACATATGTCAATAATAAAAACAAATATACCCATTGTATTATGTTTTTATTCTAAGTTTAAATATTTAATTATCGCTTACGACAGTCACATATGTTCAAAAATTAGCTAACCATAATTAATAATTTGCAGATTAATTCACACATATTAACCATTTTGAAGTACAATATGGTTATATTGTCATTATAACTTACCATGAAAAGGCTGCAATTAATATTGTGTATGTCGGTTTTATTTGTACACAGCACATTGAACATTTTTTTTTCAAATCATCAAGGCAAAATATTTCACCGTTTTGTAATAAAAAAAAATCTGCAGTACATTTTCATTTTTTCAAAAATATTTTTTTTGTATATAAACATAATTTTATTATTCTTTATACCTTATTATTTTTTATAATGTTATTTTGAATGTTTCTTTTATTTTTTCATATATTTACTACAGTATTTTAGTCTGTCATGTCAGCCAATCAAATTTCAGCTAACTCAAATAATATAAAAAGTTCTGAAAGTCGGAAACAAAATCAAAAAAGGCCTGAAACTAAATGCTAATTGGTATATACACTGCAACTAGTCTGTTGTAATATGTAGTTTATCCTCTTCACCACCAAACTTTCTCCCCCAAATTTTTCTATACTTTCTTATATTCTATAATATTTCTAGAAATGAACCTTAATTTTGGAGCCAACAAACAAAATTTGAATCAATTTTCGGTTTTTAAGCACAAAAAAATGCTATCTTTGTTCCAATCCTCTGAAAGAAAGTGCAGACGATAAACAGGACTTTTTTATAATTGGTGATGAAAAGAGGGAACTGGTGGTGAAGAGGTTATAATCCATTTGTGTTCAATGTTGTATACAAAACTTATAAAATAAACTGTACTCGTCGGCTAACAACAGCAATCTCAAAGTATTACTATATTGTAATATAATTTCTAGTAAATACCATAAAAATAATTGGGAAGTGATTCGACACGTTTAAAGCTACGCCCCAAGGATATATATAGAAAAAAAAGTTCTGTGATTTTGAAAATATGTGACATACAAATAAAAATATTCAAATCAAAAAATGTCATCTCTGTTATGTCATCGAAGTTTCGGATAGAGATCAATTGACTTTAATTAGAAAGGTAATTTTGGGGGTGGGGGGTGTCAGGAGCAGTTGACAAACAGTTATCATGGAATCTGTTGTCACTGAAAAGTCTTATCATTAATATTCATGTATTTATAATTTCATTATTTTCATGAACAATTAAAAATCACAAAATAAAAAAGAATCACTGTGTTAGAGTTCTCATTTATGGCTATTGAGGGCTCGACGAACCAGATAAGTGTCATGCAGGTGGAATTTGTTTTTTGAGAAACATCATTATTAGTTTTGATTTTGATTAGTCTGATTTGAGAATGCAAAATTAATTCACATGAAAAAACACCAAATTAAATGATTCTACAGTATTCCATTGATTACTAGTATCTAGTAATTTCTGTTAAGTTATGCAAAAATGAAAGAGAACAAAAAGTATTGCCAATAAATTTGCTTTTTCCTCCAGTTTAGCAGAATCAGTGTATATAAATAAGTGAGAAATAATAATTGTAAAATTATTATATTGTAGAATATTTTATTTTAGTTTGCCTTTTATTTTTCATCTGAAATTCACTTTTATTTGGTGGTTATGAACTTGATTTTAAACCAGTTAAAGCAAAAATTGTAAAAATAGATTTCAAGTTAAACCTTCTAGTCAAAGCTCTGCTGAGATAAAAATAAATAAGATTTATACAAGGTATTTTTCAAATCTGAATTTAGTGATTTTTAGAAAATGGTTAATCCTTGTTTATCGTAAACATAAAAAAAAAAAAAAGATCTCATAACCACTAGTTGCTAATTGCCAGTCATGATTTATTCGGTGAAAACGATATTAATTTATGATGATTTAAAGGTGTATGCTGGGGAGTATGTCTCCCCAGGCAATTGAACAATTCTAATAGCCGTGAAAAAAATTTCTGTAATTAAATATATGTTGATAGTGAACAAAATTACTTTGGATTAATTCATTAAAATGTTCTATGATGATACACAAGAAAACAATTCAGCCCCCTGCTTTTAAAAAGTCTTTGTTGGATGCGAAGAAAAGTTGGAAAATTGTGTAATACAAAAGCAAATTGCTTTCAGAGTCAAAAGATTTGCATCAATCACTCTGTTGGAGGCTGAAAGACACTTGGCTTGAAAGAGACCATCTCTCGGCGGTAATTCCTAGACAATGGAATCGTGGAAGAGCTATGGAAAAGCATGCCTGAGTCGTTGTGAAGTTGTATTGTCCCCTAACGGCCCAGTGAGACCCGCTGGAGAACGCTTAAGTGAAAAGTACCATCATGTTAATCAGATGCTCTCTCCGGAGATTCCCTTTCTTTATTCTTCATTAAACCCGATTTAAAACGTACGAGAGTGTGAATGAAATCAACGCAGCGCTAAGCATGTTCATCGTGTTGTAAAATGTCAGGTGACACTAAAAAAAAAGTAGCTATGCTTGTGAAAAACGACATGTGGGGGGATTTCATCTAATTACAGT